GCTTAGAAATTTAGTCTTAGAATTGCAGTGGACTTAAGAGTTAATCTGGCAGTAGAAGACCATATGGCGGCAGGGTCAGCGGAAAACCGCAGACTGGGGAATGAGGAATTTCAAGCTGATGTCTGATAGTAGCCACCGAAAAAAATGCATTTCAAAAGGCATTTGGCTGGTCTAAGGTGTGCCAGTTGGTCAGCACCTTTGCTTCTTTTACTTCTGTTTTCTGTTGCATGTGTTTTGGCTTTGTTTTGTTTAATCAAAATTTAGCCCAGTTTTCTTGAGTCATTATCTCTGTTACAGCAGCAGAGATGGAGCCTTTACTCCTTCCCCTTCCAGTGTCCTTATGTGTGCCCCAAGAGCAGGGATGGAAGCTGTGTCCAAATGGGTTCTGAATCCGATAGCCTCATCTTACCTTCGGCAGTGAGCCACGGAGAACCACCTGTCTCCTGGAGAAGGACGACATGGCTTCAGTATTTCTGTAGCTTCTCTCTCGACATATGCAAAGCTTTCCTCAGCAGAGAAGGGCTACCCGGCTCTGTGCGAGGAGGGCGCTTCTCTACAGGGGAAGGAAAGCAACTGTAGAAATAAATTATTTTCTTTGCTTTATTATTTTTACCAAGACAGAGAAGTATTGTATTGAAAGATATCTATTTTCATAATCAATATGTGCCTAAATTATATTTAAATCATTTCACTCTGTACTATATTTTCACAAATTATAGAGTATGTTTGTTCACTTAAGGGTACCTCTGTAGACAAAGCTAAAACTGCAGAAGGAGCTGGAAGAAACACATTGTGCTTAGAAACTGCATTAATAAACAATATGAAATGTTGGAGAGATATTCCTTCTATTATTTCCCTGCATTTCTCTGATATGGGCTGACAACCCTCCCCAGGGATTGGGGAGGTGGGTAGGAAATGTAGCATAGTGTTTGTTATGGACTAATCTGCTTGAAAGTCCATAATTGCAGATTTGTTGCTTTGGACGTGATTATTATCCTCTTTTCAGAATGCACCGTGCTAACAATATTAGTTATGAACAGAAAGAGGACAGTGCCTTCCAGTGATTTACTTAATTTGTTTGAGTTCCTCTAGCTGATGAACATGACCAACTTGCTTTATAAAGTTAAATATCTGGTCTATTCCCAACACATTTTTTGTTTGACAACTAAGAGAAAGAACTAGAAAGAAGTTTCCAACTATTGCCCCAGGGATGGAAAGTGCAGTCTACGCACATGGGTTCAAATAGTTGAGTTGGGGGAGGGAGGTTGGGGAGAAGTCTTAAACTCGAATTGTTTAGATCATATACATTGATAAAATTCAGTTCTTTGCTTGAGTACAGTCTAAATGAGCAGGAGTAGAGAACCACTGCACAGTTCTGCCATTATCTCAGAACATAGGAAAGTATCCACCAAACACCTGGCCTTGAGCAGCCAACCAGAAGCATAGATGCCTGTCCCATCACGTACCAAACAGTAGCATGGACAGACATAGCCCATTCCTGGTAAGGCAATACATATGTAACCCAATCTAGTTCCTTCAATTACTGTAGTTCCAAGGGAATTTTTGTAAGAAATATTGTCAAGATTCTTAAGAAGGTTTCCATTATAAACCAATTATTTCACATATTTTCTCTGTTCTCTTAACTAGAATGCTGCCCTGGAATCAGTTTTTAAGTCATGCTTAATATATGAAAAAAAAATCCTACAATGGTACTAAGTCCCTAAGGAAAAGTATATTTAAAATCAAAAGGTGCACTACTGCAAAGAAAAGTGGTTCATTATTTCAGCATGAAGCACCTTAGGTGAGGATTAGCTTTCTGGGCCCCTTTCATCACCTGGTGATTCATGTCAGCTGCAGTTAACCTTGAGTTCTTCCTGCTGAGATTTTACATTAGGACGGGGAAAAATGTTTTTCATCTGCCCTTCAGCAAGCTTATGAAATCATCATCATTATAACTTTGAGGTGTTTCAGTGTTAGAAATGAAGCAATTTTGGAGGAATAAAATAGGACAAAGTAAAATCCAACTTAAACCCAGTTTATTAAATTGAATTCGTTAGTAAATGGAGTTATGAGATGCCCAAAAAAGCAGGTCACTAAACATCAAAACACATTTAATTGCATAGTAGTTGGGTCGTCCAATAGTACAGAAAGTAAGACACAAATTTTCCCTTTATCTTTAAGGTTTCTGTTCCTAAGACCAGACCAATGCAGATTTAGAGAGCGTGCAGCTTAATGAATAATCTCAGACCATGTTTCTGTGTTCATCTTAAACATTTCAGAGCAATTCTCAAGTTCAATACCAGTTGATTGACACCTACAAGAAACCCTGTGATTCTTGTCTAGAAGTAAGGGGTCCACATAACAGGACTCCCAAGTCTTAACTTGAATCCCCAGTAGTCATAACCAAAACCAGAGTTTCTGTTTAGCAACACTTAGAAGTACACCCTTCAAGAAACGGAATTAAACAGTTTGAACCAACACTGTTCAAACCTAACGAATTCTTACTGAGAAATAACCTCTCCTTGTGTGTAGAGTGAGGTAAGCTTCTACTCTAGTCATCGTATCTAAAATACTTAAAATGACTCCAAGTCAGTCTTAATTTAGAATTCCCCACTAGCTGTATCCCCATCTTCACCCTGGAGAACTGGAAAACAATCATGAAAGAGGCTGGGCAAACCAGGGGAAAGTGAACTATGTACTTGAAATTTATATGGCTCTTTACTTGAAATCCTTAAAATGACATTATTTCCAGTTCCATGAACAAGTTGGGTTTTTTAGTGTATATCAAGGTTTAATTATCAGAGAAGATATTTAAAACAAAATTAGAAGAAATATGAGGACTAATCTGGTTTAAAAAATGCTGCCTCATTCATTCCTTGACTCATTTATTCAAACCTATATTTAATGAATTCTGACTAGATGCCAGGGCCTACTAACAGGTGATGATATAGGAGAGAATCTTTGCCAATCATGGGTTATATAAATCAGTAAATTATAGGAAGGTAATGAATGAGTAAAGAGTTCTAGTTATCTTTTAAATGCTTGTGTGAATAACATGTCCAAAGTCATGCCTTGGAGTAGGGGGCGGTATATCTATAGAATGTGGAGAAAGTTGCCAGGCTAGTGTCACATTTCCTGCAATCCCAGCACTAAGGTGGCCGAGGTAGAAAGATCATTCGAGTTCTCAGACCAGCCTGGGCAATATATTAGACCCTGACTCTCAAAGAAACATTTGGGTGCTTATTCCATACACTTGTTTCTCCCCTGTGCTTGATGCGCTGGGTACATGGGTTTGCTTATTTTAACTGTAAGTATCTATTAACCAAGCAGATCCATCAGTTTTCATCTGTGTTGTATGTTCTCACTCTCCATCTGTTTTAGTGCTGGGTTTCTTACCTTTCTCATGCTACCAAAGGCTTCAGAGGGCAGGAGGGACTGGTGAGGGACTGGTGGGAAAGGAACTGGGGGGTGTTTCCTCATGTTCGGTCTCATCTGCTTTAGGGTCCTGTATGGGTTGGTAAAATGACAATGGTCACCTATCAATAAAGCACATGGTTAAAATTGGAAACAACTCTGATCACCTGGTTTAAATCCTTCCTTGTGCAAATGGAATCCTAACAACTAAGACAAGCTTCCAAGTCTCCCGACTTCTAATTGCGTATTCTCTCTGGAGGAAGTTCTTGTGTACACATTTAACCTCACTTAATATCAGACATCTTTTTTCTTGGGAAGGCTGCCAATTTCCCCAAGGGAATCTTAATTAAGATTAAGATCTTAATCTCTTTGAATGGGGGTCTTAGCTCTAAAAGTTTTAGCAGAGGTTTTAAATGGCCAGACAAGTAAACTTAACAGATACACCAGCGGGTGTCCCAATTATACACACCATTAAAGGGCTTTATTTTAAAAATGACTATTACAAAAACCCTTTTTTTCATGTGCAACGTAATTTACCAGCAGGAAAGATTTCAATGGCCTAGCAAAATGTCATATAAAAAGGAAGCTAGGAGAATAGAAGAATCACAGTAGGCAACACACCTCAAAGGAAGCTTGAGATCCTGTTGGCTTTTGCATCCAAACAGGTAAAGTGTGTGTGTGTGTGTGTGTGTGTGTGTGTGTGTGTGTGTGTGTGCGCGCGCGCGCGCGCGCTATTGTATATCTCTGGGCTTTTTATACCCCTAAAAGTTAAGACCAGGTATGATGGTGCCTAAGGACACCTTGACCTTCAGTGACCTTGTCACCCTAGCCACACCCACAAATGCAGCCTTTGAAAAGAACCCAAAAGCTCATTGACCAGTTAATTTTAGCCACTTCCCCATTAAATGAAAATTAATTTAGAGGCAGGTGACAATTAGAACAATTAGAAGCTCTCAGCAAGCAAGGAAAGTGCTAGGACTCATCACCTTGATCAATATGGTGTGCTGTCATTGTTACAGACAGACAAGCCAGCAGTAATACTTGAAAGACTTCAGGACAGATTGTCAGCAAAATGTCCTTAGTACTACCATCTAGGCCTCTGAAAGCTAAGCAACATTATATGAGCCAGAAATATCTAGTAAGGGACTACTTTTCAAAGCAGGTGGTCCAGGCAAAATAGTTGAAAACCAATGAGTAAAATGTAATGGCAAGAATATGGGACTGATAACAATTGAATCCTGGGTTTTGATAAGCAAATAATAAAATGAGCACAAAATAGAACTGAAGATTAGAGTTTAAAGTGTGTGTGTGTGTGTGTGTGTGTGTGTGTGTGTGAGTGCACACGCGCACCCACGCGTGTCTACACATTTTTGTTTTGATTTGTCCCTGGTGGTTTAGAAACTCAAACAAGCAAGCAGATGTCTCTCTGTTTCAATGCCTGTGTGTAAAAACCGTGAGACTCCCATATCCCTCCCCTGAAGGGTTAACAATACCCATGCGGGGCTGTACCAGAGTAGTTCCTCACTCTTCCCCCTCCCCTCCCTCCCCCCCTCCCCCCCACTGCCACTGGTGCATTCTGTGTATGGATGTCCCGCAGCATGGAGCCGGTTCCAAAGCTGCTGGCTGCACTTGTTTTGCTGGCACTGTGCATGGAGTCCTGCTCCAGCCAGCACTGGTCCTATGGATTGCGCCCCGGAGGGAAGAGAAATGCAGAGAACTTGCTGGATTCTTTCCAAGAGGTAAGTCACCCTCAGCTTCAAAGTAAGATCTAGCTGATCTGTTACAGTTTGGTCATGACTATGACTATGACTACTACTATGACATGACTATGACTACCCAGGACACACAGGCCACCGAAGATAAGATGTGCACACTGCAGAAGCCATCTTCCTACCTTCAATTCAGACAAAGACTGAAAGAAGTAGGTCAGGACCAATGACAACACGGGCAAGACAGCGTGTCAGACTCTCTGATCTCTATGACATTCAATCAGCATCTTTCATATCGAGGATGGATGGGAGACAGACGTTTAAGCAGAAAGAACCTGGAGACTTGGAGTCAAGAGTTAGCAAACTTATGGAGGAAAATATTGTGAAGTAGAAAAGTATAGATTTAATTTCATATAGGTTAGATTACAGTACAAGTACCAGCATTGTCGTGGGGTACTTAAAAAATTATACAGTCTGACTTCTTGCCCAGCACAGGTAGCTTACACCTCTTAGCTGAGACCTGACAATTGAGGTTTGCAGCCAGCCCTGACAGAAAAATCCATGAATCTCTTATCTCCAATTAAGTAGAGTGGACAGAAAGACAAAAGACAGAACTGGAGGTGTAGCTCAAGTGGTAGAGCACCATTGGTGAGAAAAATGCTAAGCAAAAGCAAGAAGCCTTGAGTTCAAGTCCCAGGACACACATGCAAAAAGCTATTTATGTTAGCTGAGTAACATAAAAAAGTAAGGGAAAATTAGCTGGAAAAACTTAAAACCATTTCGTTTTACCTGGAAATAAATAGTTTTTTATTGTTGGTGGTGGTTGTGGGGCTTGAACTCTGGGCCTGGGCGCTGTCCCTGAGCTCTTCATCTCAAGGCAAGTGCCTTACCACTTGAGCCACAGCGTCACTTCCAGTTTTCTGGTAGTTAATTGGAGATAAGAGTCTCACAGACTTCCTGCCCAGGCTAGCTTTGAACTGCCATCCTCAGATCTCAGCCTTCTAAGTAACTAGGATTACAGGTATGAGCCACAGGCATGGCTTTTGTTTTTTGTTTGTTTTTGAGAAACTAAAGATAAAGTCCCAGAATCTGAAAGTCTCCTCTCAAGAGATGATATGTAAATAGATATAATATATAATAAACATATATAATAAATAATATATAAATAATATATAAATCTCAGTAAAGCCAGAAAGCAAAAGCCAACTCTATTCACAACTCTAAGCTCTTGTTTCTTTGTGTGTACCATTTTTTTTTATAGGCTCAAAGTACTTCCTTTCATCATGTCTATCCTTCCTATCCACAGCATCTCCAGTCCTGGTGTAAAAATGCCCAATGGGTCAGGCACTGGTGGCTCATGCCTGTTATCCTAGCTACTCAAGAGGCTGTGATCTGAGGATTGCAGTTCAGTTCAAAGCCAGCCCAGGGAGAAAAGTCCCTGTGAAACTCTTATTTCCAATAAACTACTCAAAAAAGCCAAAAGTGGCACTGTGGCTCAAGTGGTAGAGCGCCAGCCTTGAGCACAGAGGCTCAGGGACAGCACCCAGGCCGTGAGTTCAAGCCCCAGGACTGGCAAAAAAAAAAAATGTCCAATGGCAGCTCTGCCCTTAGTGTCTCCCCACAATCCTGATGCTGCAACTCTCTTCCTCTTTCTGGGGTCTACCACTCCTGGACCTCACGCCCCACAGATGATTTGTGGTGGAGATGGAAAATACCACTACATCTAATCAGCCCCATCTCCAACAATCATATTCTTTGTCTTCAGATAGCCAAAGAGGTAGATCAACTGGTAGAACCCCAGCGCTTCGAATGCAACGTCCACCAGACTCATTCTCCCCTGAGGGACCTGCGTGCTGCTCTGGTGAGTAGAAATGATTTCCTCTTTTCCTTTCTGGCCATATTAGGGTTTGAGTTTAGAACCTCCTGCTAGGCAAGGGCTCTAGCACTTGAGCCACGCCCCCAGGTCTTCTGGAAGTAATCTTGATTCAGCCCTATAGAGATGGAAAGGTTTGAGTACTACTAACACCCCTAGCACTGCCAGGGGGTGGGGGCTACCTTCCTAACTGTTGGGGTCCCTTTTATCTCTCCGTGTTCCTGCTGTGTGGCTAGACAGCATTCCCTGCTGGAAGAGCTGGTCTTCTCATCTGAAGTTGCATTGACATCTTGACAACACTTTTTGCAAATTCTGGCCAACAAATTTCTTCCCACTGCTAATTCTTAAAGTATAATTAGAGTACAGTTGGCTAATTATACTCTAAATCTCTAAGTACATCCATCAAACCTACTCAGCTGGTCCCTCAGCTGCCTAAGCAATTGTTCCAAGACATGGTTTTGGAGGATCCTGGGAAATGCCGAAAGCAGAAACATCTCTAGATGATTTTTCTCCACTTTGGATTTTAGAAGTCCAAACTGGTATATTTAGAGAGCCACAGATTTGATTTCTACGGTTTTTTGTTTTGTTTTTGTTTTTTTTTGTAGAACAAATTCTCACCCAAAATGGAAATCTACTAACTAAATATAGGCACCAATACTGGAACTTGAAGTCAGGGCCTGGATACTGTCCCTGAGCTTTTTGATCAGTGCTGGCACTTTATCTCTTGAGCCACAGCTCTACTTCTGGCTTTTTGCTAGTGAACTGGAGATGAGTCTCAAACCATGATCCTCAGATCTCTACCTCCTGAGTAGCTAAGATTATAGGTATGAGATACTGGGGCTGTCATAACGTAGGCTTTTGATGGGAAAACATAATACAAATCAAATGGAATACAGAAGCTATGAAAATGCAATGCCACTTTGAGCTCCACGGGTCACTTATTTGCAGCAGTCTGAAAAGCATTATGGTCAATTATCCATTATGCTCAGAAGAGGGAAAGTCTGAATAAGTCATGTATGAAGATAAAACTTAGTTTTCTTGAATGATTTCAACTCCCATGCCTTCAGGACAAGTAAGAAGAAGGGCAGACATCTCTATTTCCTCTCTTGTCCTAAACTTTCTTAATATCTGATAAAAAATAATAAGTAATGAATTCTCTCAAACATGGCATTACAAAGGAATTGAAAGAAAGGCTGGTTTAATTCACATTGATTACAAATTGCTGTCATCTCTTTCTTCATATTCTGTCCTGAAGCTATTATTATATAGATTTTATTCTTCTTACTACTATTAGTAAGCAGTTTGACAAGACATAGTTTGCAAGACATGTTGGCATATACCTGTAATCCCAGTACTCAGGACACTAAGGCAGGAAGGGATTGAGAGTTTAAGGTCAACCTGGTCCACAAAACCAGTTTGAGATCAACTGGGCTACCCAATGGGAACTTATCTCAAGCAAAAGAAAACAAATCCAGACGCTGGTGGCTCTCACCTGTAATCCTAGCTACTTAGGAGACTGAGATCTGAGGACTTTGGTTCAAAGCTAGCCCAGCCTGGGCAGGAAAGGCCATGAGACTCTACTCTCCAATAAGCTACTCAGAAAAAGCCAGAAGTGGTGCTGTGGCTCAAGTGGTAGAGTGCTGGCCTTGAGCTCAGGGACAACACCTAGGCGCCCTGATTTCCAGCCCTATGACTGGGGGGAAAAGTTTCCATCTACTGACTTCTCTAGTACTGTCTTGTTCATGACAACAAATGCACCTTCCCCTCCTCAATCCCTATTTTAGAAATCAAAATGTCACACATAGAACAAAACTCAGCTGGCCGGATCAAACTGGATACTATTTGTTACCTGTGTTTTTCAGCAAAGTCTGATTGAAGAGGAAACAGGGCAGAAGATGTAAGTCCATCTGCTGGAGTCTCCTCAACTCTGAAGTGTAGCAGTGACAAAGAAACTTGTGACTCATTATGTATGTATGGGTGTATCGTGTGACTTTCAGACATTCCCACATTGAGCGGCCCTATTTCCTAATAAAGCGATGTGCCATGGGTACAGTGGTAGAAATGTGCAAACATCTAACTCCCCTGGAGGGGGATGAGGTGACACCAAGTGTCTGTGCTCCCCCTCCCCCCACCGTCAATCCACAGGGCAACAGTCACGGTTTCCGTGCACGCTGATCAGAAGACACTGGTTCATCTAGCTTCCATAGGACCCGAACTTCATGTCTGACCATTAGTCACAGAAGTTAAGGCAGAGCCACGACTCCCTGCCATGTGGGAAGGAGTTCTCTCCCTAGATTGTCCTCACCCCTTGCAAAGTCAGGTGGAACCCCAGTAAGGCCTGGGGATGGGAGAAGGGGTCTCACGGGACTGCTGGTCTAGTGACCCTCGGGCTCCATAGGCTGGCCCAGGCACACACAGAAAGTGTGCAGCCGTCTTAGTCTAACTCCTGCTGCCGGATGAGGTGACCCACACCTCTGCCTCCTCCCACACTCAGGCCTGAGAGTTCAAGGCCAAGCTTGAGATATCTCAACAACAACCACAACACACCACAAAGCCCACATCTGGGCACTTGGTAAAGAAAAGGCTTACCTTGGCTCCTGATTTTGGAGGCTGGGAACATCCACCTTCCAGGTCACAACCTAAGGAAGAGGGCGTCGTGTGTGCCGCTGGTAACTAGGTGGTGGGCAAAGCACGGTGGGGGCACATGCAGAAGTGGCCACGGCCTCACGGTAATGAACGTGGTCCCGACTGAAACCACCTCCAAGACTTAACCCTGAGGGAGCTGCCACGGTGACCCAAACACCTCCAGTCGTTAAAGTCTCCCTACCTCATGTACCCTTACCTTGGGGGCAAGTTTCTAGCATAGGAACCTTTAGAGGTAACCACGTCCACAATACTAGAAGGACCGCAGACCCAAAGTAAGTGTCCACCTGCCTGTCCAGACAGTCCGCTGAAGACAAGAGCCTGAGTCCCCACGTCCCTCAGCCTTCAATTAGCATTACCTCCCTACCCTCTCCACAAAGACCAAAGTCAGGCTCCGGCATACCACCACCGCACAAACATTGTTACTAATCCATGGAGGGAAAACAGGTGTGATTATCTTTGTTCTGAGGAAACTGAGTTCCTGGGAGGTAAGAGCCCTGCTTGGTTCTGCCTGCTCCCACGTCCACCAGTGCTGGATTGACAGCTGGATTGAAGCTGAAACAGGACTCTGAGCCTCACCCGTAGTTCTCCATAGGCTCCAGGCACTGTAACACTAGTGTTTCCATTTATTCTCACTGATCACCATGAAATGGCCCAGGAGACCACTGGAAAAACTCAATAGCCAAGCATGGTGGTTGGTATATGCCTGTAATCCTAACTACTCAGGAGGTAGAGAGGTAGGAGAATCCACTTCTGAGGTTGGTCTTGGGGCAAAGAATGAAAGATCTATCTGAAAGAATCACTAAAGGGGGGGGGGAAGAGAGGGTGGGAGCACATCTCAAGTGTGGGGCCTTTCAAGTGTGAGGTCCTGAGTTCAAACCCCAGTACCACCAAAACAACACATCCCAGCTTAGGTAATGTCTAAGTCACAAACTTCACGGGAAATGTGTAGGCTCCTTTTTCTCTCCTCATTAGACAAATGAAACCTCTGCTCCCCTACTCCCTGCCCTTCCACCCACAAAGAAGATGCTAAGAAATTTGAACAGGGGTCAGAAAAGTAGGGGAGTGATGAGATCTGTAGTCCATTCGTGGAACAAAAGAACAATCGTGTTATTTCACTAATACATACAAGCAGGAGCTGAGCTTCTATTTGCCAATCACTCAGCAACTATTTTTTTATGAAACAAATATAACCTACACTCTCAAATACATTCTTAAAGGTACCATGACACTTAATGTATATGTTGTACTTGGAACATCAGATTTCCACGGGCACATCTCCTCTCTGGAGAAGTTTCTTTGGAGGTAGCTGCAGAGCTCAAGTGAATAAGATCCTGCCCAGCTGATGGACACTGCTGTTACGGCTTCTGATAGAATCTATCTAGGGGCCTGCAACTCAGCAGAGTTTGCACCCAGGAGCACTCGATCCGTGGACTTTGAGCACTGGATCCATCCCTTCGATTGCAAGGCCTCATCCATGTTACTTGAAGTCTGCAGCCTTAAAAAAAAAGTGAGCAAACCTACAAAAATGATGTACTTTGTGTGATACATTCACCAATGTCTGTGGCCTTACATCATCGAGTAGCAAAAAAGAATGGCATGAAAATAGGCGGATCCTTTTCATAATAGCTTTTAGCATTGTAGAGCTAGAAATAGCCAAAAATCCCCGCAGGAGCTCCCAGCCCGGGGAGATCCCGCTCATGGAGGAGAGGGGGGTTTCTCAGTGGGAATCCTAGGTCCCAGCCCCATGCGTTCACTCGGTCTTTGAGGCCCACACCCTGCCTGCAACTTTTAACAAGCACCTGCCTAATTATGCGTGGAGCATTATTGCTTTTACAGAGTAACAGATTCTCTGGGCCCTAGCTAGATCCTCTTAATTTCTCTCCTTTACTTTTGCCTTTATCTGTGCTGAACAACAGAACCTTTGTACACGGAGGCTGGGTGTCCACGGGTGTGTGGTTTCACAGAGACCACCGTGGTGGGAACACTGAACACGTTCACGATTCTGGACCTCGGACACAAAGCCCTGTGCATGCTCATGAAACACGACCTCGGACACAAAGCCCCGCGCATGCTCACGACTCTGGTTTCTCACATCGTGCCTTCCCGAGTCCCAGTTCACTTGGTCACTTCCGTGCAGTGTGGTCACTTTTGCCTTGCTTTGGGGGGTGAGAGGGGATACCGTTTGCTCCCTGGGGAAGCAGATTTTCACAGAGGTAAGGACAGAGAAGCAGCAGATCACACAACTATTAAAACAAGACTAATGGTAACCCAGGCCAGGCTGAGCACCTGTCTGCACCCCTGAACTGCACATGCAGGAACTTAAAAGTTACTGTTTTCGAAATATTTATCATCTACTTAACCACACTTGGTCAGAACCACATATAATGATTCCAGGAACAAGGCAGGCTCACTTTTACTTTTTTATAGTTGTTTATTTATTGTGCCAGTCTTGTGGCTTGAACTCAGGGCCTGGACACTGTCCCTGAGTTTTGTGCTCGAGGCTGGCGCTCTTCCACTTGAGCCACAGCTCCATTTCCAGCTCTTTAGTTGCTAATTGGAATAGAGTCTCACAGACTTAGCTACCGGTCTGGCTTCCAGTCACAATCCTCAGATCTCAGCCTTCTAAGTAGTTTTAAAATTATAGCGGAGAGCCACCAGGGGAGCCAGGGAAAGGCATGCTTGCTTCATACTAAATGAATTCTCGTCGGAAGGCTGGGGGTTCCGATACCAATTGCATGGATAGGAAAGGCAAGAAAGAAGCAAGCAGTTTGCGTTTTTATTAGTTCCCTGACGAGATGACACGAGGCCCCACAGGTCAAGACGCAAGGCACAGGGCTGTAGTGAAGGAGCTCCTGGGCTTCTTGGGGGATGGGTTTTGAAGAAGGTGTCAATAAAGGACCTATTACAACATTCATGATTTCAATTCGTTAAGAGTAACGACAAAACTAAACACATAATAAACTTTAAAATACATTTCCATTTTTAATTTAAAAAATAAATAACAGCAAATCTGAACAAAACTCTTCTACTTCAATGCACAGCACCTAATCGTCTGTGCACGAACCCCAACTCGTTACAAAATCATAGCAAAGGAGGTTTTCACCAAGTTTGGATGAACAGCTCTCAAAGGGTGACTGAGAGATGAGTTTGGGCAGCATGTATAGGAGATTAGCTTTGGCTGAGCTTGAAAATCCACCTGGAATCATTCATCAGAAAGGCAAGCTCTTCTACTTGTATGTTAGAACTGATGGCTTAACTCTGACTCCAGCCAGAAAACATTTTTCCAACTTATCTTTGTAGACTTCTAAGGAAGCAATGTTTATCAACTCCCCAAATGACACAGGGAAAGACGGTATGACTATTATATAGAAACAGAAGTCACATAGTAGGCCAGGCTGATAAAATCTGAAGACAATTATGGCCATGGCTTTGTTAACAAGATTCTACAGAGAATTATGGTAATTTGTGTCAACATTTCAACAATGTACACAAGAACCATTATTTCAATGTTCATAAATCTGTTTTTTGGTGGTTTTTTTTTTTTTGGTAGTCTTGGGGATGTAACCCAAGGCCTTGAACCTACTAAACAACTACTCTACTACTGAGCTACATCCCCAGCCTGAATCATTTGGTGTTTAAAAGAAAAAAAAAATCAAAGCATGTGTCAAAAGTTAAGAGTCAAAGGTCAAAGCACCAAGTTGGGATTTAAAAATAAAAGGAGAGGGGGAGGATTCCAGTATGTGGACCTCAAAGTTTTAGTACAGAAGTTTCCTCCTAAGTTGCCTTCATTTTGGTTCACTTAGAATGAAAAGGAGCTAGGCTGTATAGGATATGGGATAATATGGACTTTCTGGAAGGTATATAACTTTATAGTTATTATTATGTATGGTGGTATGAGGGGTATCTCTCCCCTTTGCGTGATACCTGAGTGAAGAAAAAGGCACAAACTTGTGGGTCCTTCTAAATAAAATCTTTCACAACACAGTGCCCCACACCTGTGGACACCTCCTGGGGTGGCAGGAAGAGTCTTGTTTGTGTCTGTGACACGGGTACCTCTAATATTTGTGCCCTGAACTGTGGGAATGGCCCATCTCTGTTTTACAATAAGAAGTTGCCCGCTACCTGGGGGAGATAAAGAGTTAACAAAGGTAGGTTGTCATAAATCCCGTTCCACACTGTTTTATTCTGAGTTTGCAGTGAGCTTCCCTGGCAGGAGAGCATGACTGAAACTTGAGTCTAGGAGGGAAGCCAAAAGAGTGGGAGAGAACTGTGGCCCAGCACC